TCACTGTCTCTTGAGTACATCTGCTGAAGCGAACAGGGTAATAAGAAAGGAAGCATGATTCAAATGAGGTCAGTTTATTTCCTTCCTCCCCCTGAAGGGAAGGAAGGGGATAACCATTTGAATGTGCAAAGGTTAAAAATCTATATTTTCCTGAATTTTCAGTTGGTCCCTTACTAAGGGTTGCGTATTCAGACTTGATATGGCTGAGACCATTACCCAATACCCCAGCCCTACTGGAGGAGGGGCCAGGGATGCTGTGTGTACACTCACAGTGGGCGAGAGAGAGGAGGAGATGAGTGGAGGGGAGGGGTTTGAGTCCATGGCCAGTGACTACCGGGTCAGTCTAAGTGAACCAAAGAGAGAGGGTGAGATGGCAAATCAAGAGGTGAAGAAGTAATCTGAGACAGTCAGGCTTTCAGACATACCAGGGCAGGCCAGCAAAGCCGAGGGCTGAACACCAGTGGAACAAAGGGCTAGGAGAACAAAACTAGGAGGCCACACAGGAGGCCTGCAGATGGGGAAGGAGGCACTGACTAGTGAGTTCAGAAGAAATTTTCCAGATGCTGAGCTTGGGCTCTGGAATCCCTTTTATGAGCAGACCCTCTGCAGCCATAGCTAGGAACAGGGCCTTACAGAGGCAGGTGGGGGCAGCTGACCACTCCCACATCTTGGATCCTCTCCTTGTGCAGTGATTGCCCCCCTTTGGGTTTCAGAGTCTGGGGCTGGGAGTCAGCAGATCTGGGCTCTAGACTGAGACCCACCACTGACAATCCGTGCGACCTCACAAAGCTTATACTCACCCAGTTTTTCCACCAGTGGTACCCAAACAGAATGATGTTAGGATAATATTAAATTATAAAAGTCAAAGAAGCACTTCAAATCTATACTCTGACTTTGGTTATAATGTGTCCTAAGTCAGATCAGAAAAGTTCACATAATTCTCTGGGATAGAAACAATAATACTAACCCGTATATAGCACTTACCGCGTTATTGGAACTTAATATTTGTGAGATGCTAAGATTAACCCTTACAACAACCTACGGGGTGGGAATTATCATTGTCCTCATTTTGCAGAAGAAACCAAAGCACAGAGATGTTAAATAACTTGCTCAAGGTCACACAGTAAGTGGCCAAATCATGGTAGAAGCTTAGGAAGTCTGGTTTCAGAGCCCGTTGTTCTTAACCACTATGTGATAGTTCCTTTTGCTAAAGGATAAAAGAAGCCTATTACCCAAGTTCCCAGGATCTAGTAACATAGAGTATTGTTACAGACATATTTAACTGTGAGTAAAACCAAACTGGAAAAATTAAATTTACAAGGCAGATAAATTAGGCATGGTAAATAACTATTGTACATATGCTCAAAACAAAAAATAAATAAATAAAAATAAAGCAAACTTCACAAAAGAATTTGAGATAAAATCCCATTAGACAGCAAGCTTCCTAATATGTTTAAAGATTCAATGTACAAGAAAGGGCTAATACTCACCTTTTTAGGTGGTCAATAGTTACTTGATTCTAGGGCTCCCTTTATCACAAATATGAAGTAAAATCTTAAGGAGACAAGATGCCAAGGCCTGTGCAGTAGATTGTCACAGGAATGAGTCATGCCTCTTTATATCCACACCTTGTGCAGTATGCTCCTGTATTTGTTCTACATTTGGTATGTGATTTGCTTTTGTCATCGGACATCAACATACATGACAGAAGGAGGACTTGAAAAGTACTCATACAATGGGGTTTGTGCTCTTGGAACACTCAGCTTCCTAATATGTTTAAAGATTCAATGTACAAGAAAGGGCTAATACTCACCTTTTTAGGTAGTCAATAGTTACTTGATTCTAGGGCTCCCTTTATCACAAATATGAAGTAAAATCTTAAGGAGACAAGATGCCAAGGCCTGTGTAGTAGATTGTCACAGGAATGAGTCATGCCTCTTTATATCCACACCTTGTGCAGTATGCTCCTGTATTTGTTCTACATTTGGTATGTGATTTGCTTATGTCATGGGACATCAACATACATGACAGAAGGAGGACTTGAAAAGTACTCATACAATGGGGTTTGTGCTCTTGGAACACTCCTCCTATGTGACATGGCTTATGCTAACCTATTAAAGACATGTAGTTTGGCCAACAACCAGTATTCATCTCCAGAGATATGAGTGAGGCCATCTTAAACCACCAGCCCCAGTCAAGCCTCCAGATAACTGTGGCTGCATGAGCGACCCAAGGTAAGATCAGCAGAAGAACCATCCAGCCGAGCCCTGGCCAAACAGCTGAACTGCAGAATTGTAAACAAAATATTTGTTGTTTAAGTCACTAAGTTTTGGGGTGGGTTATCATGCAGCAAACACTAACTGATAGAGTCTACATTTAAGATATTTCCTGGGGTAGCAATAGCAGTATAAAACATAGAAATTGTTGGAGTGCCCGAGGCATTTTCACAATTAGGTAGGAGAGTGAGTTGGCTGAAAAGTTGGAGTCAGAAGTGCTACATTGTGGGGATAGCAGGTAAGTTCATTGGCTGCTTTTACATACCTTTCATTCTGTGACTTCTGGGTCAAGTGGATGGGGAAGCTGATCTTCACAATCATACCAACAGACCAGGAGAAAAGAGGAAAGAAGTCATAATGTATATCCTGAGAGATCCAACTATCGGCTTTTGCATCTACTGATAATAAAGTGCACTACAACAGCACAATGATATAATCGGTCAGGTCCTACAGCTACACAGTTCCTTCTGTTTCAGTCCCTTCCAGGCCATTTTCATTATTGCCTCAACACTGCTGCTACAGACTGGAGAAGGCAAGGCGTGGAGCACAGAAATGACTCAATCAAAGACAAAGAAAATCTCTCAGCATTCTGGAGCCAAGAGACCTACTAATTTCTGGTGACAGCAATACTGAGAATAAAACCATCATCCAGTACAACTTCTTTCTTTAAAAATGCAAAACAGAGGCTCCTAGAGGATAACTTGTCCAAGGCCACACAGCTAAATATGACTCAGCTGATCCATGAACCCCAGTCCATGAACTCTAATATTCTATGATGACACGGGACACAGGACATGAGCATCGGGGCCCACAGAAGGAACCGTAACATCCAAACTCTAGTCTAATAATCCTTCTGTCCTTGATTGATATTGTCCAAATGGTCACCTAAGACAGCCAAGGAAGGCATAAGACACAATAAGTACAATAATTTTTCAAACAACGGCTAGGAAACTTGTTTGACCAAAGGACAGAAGAGGGAAAAATCCCCTAAATTTCACTATGAAAAAACTGTGAATTTACTTGTAGGCCTTTCCCTTCTATCTCTATTAAAATGCCAATTAATAATGGCCACAAGGAGCATAATTACTATGAATTGAATTTTATGTTGAAACCCTAATAATAACAATGTGATGGTATGTGGAGATGGGGCCATTGGAAGATAATTAGGTCATAAGAGTGAATCCTTTATGATGGGATTAGTGCCCTTGAAAGAAGAGACATGAAAGAGCTTTCTTCCTCTGTCTCCAACATGTAAGGATATAGCAAGAAAGTGTTATCACTGAGAACCAAGCCATGATGGTACCCTGATTTCACCAGCCTCCATACTGTGAGAAATAAATATTTGTTGTTTAAGCCACCTACTCATGGTATTCAGTTATAGCAGCAAGAGCTATTTTATAGAATAAAGACCATATTAACTTAGGGCTTGAAGTATAAACAATGGCTAATAAATGCTTTTGCAAATCATTCTTAAATGCTAATATATGCATATATATTAAACTTAACATTTATGTCTGCTTTCATTTTCTATTCTAGGGAAAATACCCCGGTCCCTTTTCTAACTTATTTTCTGAATGTGAACAAGTGATTTAACCACTTCAAACATCAAATGTTCTATCAAAAAAACAAGGCGATCGGACTTCAAGTCCGAAGCAACACAGTGGGATGGAAAGAACTTTGGACACAATCACAGTTGAGACCGGATCTGGGACCTGGCATCTCGTCAACTGTCTGGCTGGAGGCCTACACTTTACCTCCTGCAACGTCTAGATGAATGGAAAACTACACCCTTTCCACAAGGTTTGGTAAGAACAAAAAACAGTACACGTGAAGTGCCCTGCACAATGCCTGATGCCCGAGAGTGCTCGGTAAGGCTCAGCTGGTGATACGGATTCAGCCCTCCTTCCCACAAATATTTACTGAATCCTCTGAGCCAGGCATTATTCTATGTCTGAAGGATAGAGAAGTTAGCAAAACTGAGGAAACTCCCCACCTCCCAGAGCTGGCATTCCAGGGCACAGTCACCCATGACTAACGACGGAGGAGCTGTGCACCTGTGCCACAGAAAAGCTCCCTGGTCCCACTCCCACTACAGGCTCCAGAGCAGGCAGTCCCCGTGAGTCGCGGCCTAGGCCGGATAAGTCCTCACCTCTCATCACCAGCCCAGCACGGCGTCCACCAGAGAAGGCAGGCCAGGCCTGGGCTTCGCACTGCTCTTCCACCTTAGCTCCTTCCCCCATACTCTCCCTTCTCCACAACTGTTCCCCAAGCCTGCACCAGAGCCTTCCAGAAATCTCCAAGGCCTAGTTTGCTCAGCAGCATTACCCCCCACTTCCCACCAGAGGTCGCCCTCCCACACAAGCCCAAGCAAACAGTCTGCTTTGCTGCCTCGGCAGCAGTGACATTATTTTCTTTCTCTATTTTTATCTATTAAAAAGATTTCTTCACAGCCATAACTTAGATCTCTACACTAAAATGGAGCAACAGGAAGATATAATGGTGCATTTCATTTATGAATGACCTATAATAAATTACTCTGAAGTGTCCCAAGTGCCAGAAGACAGAACGCGTTGTCTGCCCATGGACTGTATTTCACATACTTTAATTTAGCTGACACATAAAACTCATTTGACATTTTGCAGGTATTTGGGGGGGAGGGGGAGTGAAAGGGGACAACTGCGGGGCTGGGTGGGGAGTGGGGGCGGCGGGCAGAGGAAAGGATATTTGGTTCTTGTTGAGGGTTAAGGTATGGAGCCTGGGTAACCCTGGCAACACGAGGTTGTCCCCGAGCAGATTGTTGTCCAAGATGAGCTCCTCCAGGCTCCTGAACGCGCTCAGTCCTTCCAGTGACCTGCAATGACAAAGGCAACAGGAAAAATGATCCTGCACTAAATCAGGGAGGCCATTATGAGCCGAAATAAATATTTTAACCTTCCCTTTCAGGACTGGGAATAGTTGGGCTTGGTGCCTGTCAGCAAAGTGAATGACAAGAATTAGTAGCGGGAGCCGGGTGGGGGCGGCAGGGGAGAAGGGGCCGCTGGCTCCCACCGCATCCTTCACGCACTGCCAACATGAGGGATGAGGGTCACTTAGTGAGTAGCCAGGATCCAAAACAAAGGGCTTCAGATACGGCCTGCAGGATAAATTTGTCAATGTCTTGTGCCTCCAGGCACCAGCCTTGGCTGACCCTAACCTCCATTCCCAAGATAAATAACTCTGTCACAGTTCACCTTCATTCCCTGGACACAAATTTAAGTTGTCATCCATCATTCCTGCCCAGAAATATCATACCCCTCTTACAATAATAAATATAACTTCAAGTATCATTTCTTAGCAGTTCTCTCTGTACAGTCGTAGGGGAAACAGCAGGGAAGGCTCCTGTTCTCTCCCTTCATAGCCTCCGACTTTTTTCTTCTGCCTTTTTTCTTTACTAATCACTTAATTTGCTTCTTCCCAGTGTCCCTGTGGCTGTCCAAAAGGCAAGGCATCTGCAGAATTACATAATCGCTCCAGTCTGAGAGGGCTTTTTCTTTTTTCTTCATGATTTCTTTTTGTTTGTTTTTGTTTGGGGGTGGGAGGAGGGACCAGGGGTCAGGGGAATTTCTGCTTCAAAGCTTCTGGCCTGAAGTTTCTGTTTTAATTTATGGAAAGTGGATTTCTCACTTTCTTTTTGAAAGAGGTGTAAAGTGCAACAACGTAGATGTGGAGGCAGTAAATAAAAAGGCATCTGAAAGAATTAAGTACCTGGCTCAGGAAAAAAATATATATCAGAAAGGGGAAAATAGCCTTTCTCGAACATGCAGCTGAAAGTTAACTCTTCGTTGTACTGGCTCTCATAAGTGCCGGGCGTGGCAGCGACGTGGGGCAGGGGTGCACAAGTGCTCACCCGGGTGCACACGGGCATTAATTAAAGAAAGCCGCCCGGTCGCGGGATTTACACAGAGACATGCACTCCAGCTTGTCCACCTGTCAGGCCCAGGAGATGTGCAGAGCTTGCACAGGCTGACAGCTGAGCTGTGGCGTCGGCCTCGGGAAGGACTCACATGGGATGCCTGGCTATTCCATAAAATGTGACCAATCAGGGAGATGTCATCCACGCTATTTATTCATTTACAAATAGCAATTACATTACAGCCCCGTGTGCTGCATGTGCAAGTTCTGCGCACCCAGCCTGAGTGTGAACTTTAGCACTAGTGCCCTCCCAAGGCATCCACAGCTCCCTCGTGGGCCCTCTGCCAAGAGGACTCCAAGATAGGCAGTCAATACTTGAGAGGTGTAAAACGCATTGAGAGTTAGTAATTAAATCCACAGATTCCACTGAGACAGAGCTCCGCCTGCATGCCCCATCCCTGCCAGATCTTGGGGTGGCCCACCCAGGGCCCAGTGGCTCCACAGCAAGAGGACAAAGCTGCACACACGGTGGAACAAGGGGCCAGGGGTCAGGGGTCATCAGGTTTCATTTCCTCCTCCTTTCTCTTTTTCCTCATGGTTCCAGGAGGCAACACACAACTTATACACGTCTAGGCAGGAAGGTTTGGGACTTTACCTGGGCTCCGCCATTTCTGTGTAGTGTGAATTCACTCGGGTACGTCAGTAGAGCCAAACTCTCATTCTGTGTTCCTTCCAGCTCACAGGATCTTACAGAGGGTAAGTGAAAGAGGACTAACAAGTTACTAGCAAATGCTGTTTTTTTCTTTTCCTTCTGCCTTTTTTCCCAAAGCCCTGACCTTGGGGGTGTTGGAGAGGCAGGGGGTGGGCAGATGAATAGACCCACAGAGGTGTGTAGTAAATCAGGCTTGTGCAGGAACCTCCAGGCTCTTCGGAAGACCCTTCCTCCATCAGAGTTAATGATTCACAATCCAAAAGTGCTTCTCAGGACTAGGCCTCACAAGGGGAGTGGAGGCCACCTCCCGCCAGGGAGCCTTTCAGACAGCTAACAAGTCCTTTGTGCACAGACATCATTTGGGCTCCGGTCAAAGGCAGCATCCAAACACACCATTCCCCAGTTATGTTATGCAAATATTTTACTCTTATCATGAGAATCAGCACATGGCTGGCACCTGGCAAGCAGAAGAAAGCTCCCTTCCAAGAGTGAGTGCTCCAGGGGAGCGTAAAACAAAATGACATAGCATGAAGAGGGACAAAGCCAGGACCCCCACCCACCAAGACAACCTTTCTGTCCCTGCAGGGTGGGCTCTGGGACAGAGCTCCCTCTGCACCTCCACACCAGAGCAAGACCTCAGAGATAAGTTGGGATGACCAGTCTCAAACCCCCCATCACCCATCTGGTTCGAGATTCTTTATGCCATGCAATGTTATTAGCTGCTCAGTAAAAAGGAAACCATGTCTCGTGGAGAGTTGCTAATTAATAAATCTCTGGTTTCAAGTCTCCAGTGTGGTGTGCACTTGGCGATTTAATCAGCCAAATTCAGAGCTGAAGGACTGGGGACAGGAGAAGGAGGGCAGAGAGCTTAGTGAAAGGTAAGGCTGGAGAGGATGGGTTTTGTAGGCATAGCTGACATGTGGAGGCCAGTAAACATACACGCAGATGACGGCTTCATTGTTGACTTTTTTTGAAATTTCACTGTTGCTACTGTTATTTTCCAGGAGGGAGGAGGAAAAAGAAACAATCTGCGTCAATCTTTGGGTTCATACCCTTATATTCCAGATGCCTGCAAATAGGTATGTGCTGTGCAATAAAATAAGGTGGAAAAGGCTTTAAGGACCCACACAGATCTATGCTGTTTAATGGGACCATGACGGCAGCTACGTGGAACAGATGACGGAACTGCAATTTCTCTGCTATAACCTTGTGTGTGGACAGCAAAATGTACCCCAAAATGAGAGCCCTGGTGAAGGGGGTGATTGTCACTTCAGGGTTACTCACCAGCTTCCTTGGCAGTGGCTGCAATGTCTGAGGTGTGGGCTGGGGAGCAGGAGGGGAAGGTAAGGCTTCACCTGCTACCAAAGTGCAGCCCGTGGAAGAGAGATCTTCCGAGCCTGATAAGGAGCCACCAAGGGCCAGCAGGGAAAAGATGTGTGCAGGGGCATTGGTGGCAGGTGGTTTGCTCTGGAAACTTAATCAGCAACCCCACAACTCAAAGCAGGCCTGCCTCCAGCTCCACCAGCAGGAAAGCTGCTGTGATCTCACGTACAGGTATCATCTCGGTTACCTCCTTCCCAGGGGTCCACCTGGGCTCCCCCAGAAGCCGCGGTGGCTGCTGGGAGAGTCCCAGTGCCTTTTCCAAAGTCACATCAAAATGACAAAACATCACAACGCATTCAGCTCCAGTGGATCCAAACAGAGAGAACTTTTAAGTTTCCACTGTAATTAACCCTATCCTCGTTAAGATAATTATGATCAAGCTTCCTGTCACAGTTAATATCCAGCATCATTGCCTGTGGCTCACACTCTGCCCTCATTAGCTTATAAAAACAGCAGCGCTAAACAGGCGGCCGCTCCCCTGCCTGGGGTAGGCCAGTGGCTCGAGCCACTATGCAGGGGTCTCAGCAGGGCAGTGGGCCCCACAAAGTGGCTGCCCCTTGAACCCCGATCCCTTCTGCTCCTGGGTGGGTGCATACTCAGCGACCTCCATCCTTTCCCTGAAAATTAGCCACTCATCAGAATGGTGAAAGAGAAGGACCAGGGCAGGGCAGGGCAGGGCTGGCGGATTTGGGCAAAGGAGCTTCTAATTTGTAGCTGCCCCTGCCTGCCCTTTACCTAGCAAAAAGCCAGCCAGAACATTTCACCACAGAAATCACTACAGAAAATGTCCAGAACCCCTGGTTCAATCCCCAGGATACAGGATGTCCTAAGAATTAGAACTCAGCTCCCAGTCGACACCAGGAGTGACATGACTGCCTGGCATGAGCTAGAAGGGAGTGGTGGGGATGGTTAGCCACAGACCCTAAAAGAGAAGTCTCTCTCTGTCTCTCTTTGGAACCATATTTGGCCTCAAATCCAGGACCACAGGTTGGGACGGTCTTACATCAATCAAGAAAACAAGATGTCCAACAAAGGTCTTCATCTTCATCTGCCTCCCTGACTACATCTCTCTAAATATCCATACCCATGGTTTTCCACTGAGCAAACGGGAAGGCCACGGCAATTCCAGAGGGTCCAACCCACATGTCTGACATCTCCCATATCAACAAAGGTCTTCATCTTCATCTGCCTCCCTGACTACATCTCTCTAAATATCCATACCCATAGTTTTCCACTGAGCAAACGGGAAGGCCACGGCAATTCCAGAGGGTCCAACCCACATGTCTGACATCTCCCATACGGGTTAATCACCCTGACCCACAGGAGTTGGCTGTTACCTGTCCTGCGAGGGTCTCTCTGGATGAATTCTGTCTGCCCAGCCCCCAGCAAAAGAGGCTCTCAGTGCAGCCTCCATGCACCTGGAAAGCTGTCAAATGCACAGTGGCAGCGCAGTACCTCCTCCCAACAAGGTGGAGAGCGCGGCCCAGGGCGCTGGCCAGTGGCTGGGGGCGATTCCTAACCAGAATGCCTCCCGTCTTTACCCTATGGCCACTGTCTGATACAGGAAGGAGTGACATTCGGCCAGTCTGCACCAGTATACCAGTACTAGTTGTTACAATATTTAAACACTTTCTGACCAGTTGGTAAATAAATGCAGCTCTGAGAACCCTCCCTGTGACACTGGCCACTCCCTGGTACCCCGACCCCAGGCCTTTTCATAATCCAGCAACTAAGAGGTCAATACCCACCACAGCACAGAGCCAGCAAGGACCCTGCTCCGGCTGGCATCCATTTTGATTGGTCAGTGTAGTTGTCAAATAGTTTTAACACAAAAATAGTCACTTGTTCCTCTCATTACCATGACCAGCCAAATACAGTATCTGGCACACAGCAGGTCCTTGGGAAATGTCTGCAAATTAACTTTCCACCAAGGCCATGACCAAAGCTATGAGGACAGACAGGCAACACAAAGTAACTGGTGAGGAAGAAAGAACTGGTGATCTGTGAAGTGTCTGTTTATGCCCCAGTCAACGGCCTAGTGGCAGCACAGACATTTTTACAGTCTGTTTTCCTAGTCCCTGAGAGATATTCTTTCTTCAGCCGTAAAACTCTTTTATATCCTATTTAAATAGTCAGAAGAGGCAGATGTAGATACGTAACCATGTACACTCCTACAAATAATGTATAGTATATTACTACATATAGTACTATACGTATAGCTGACTGTATATACTTTTCTATATATTTTTCTGCCATTCAGGTTACGTAGCCAGAGATACATGTACAAATAATAATATAAATCAACTAGTCCCTACTGTAAGTGTATCAATAGGGAGTGGGAGTGTCTTTAAGAAACAGAAGAACATGGAAATGGTTCTGGGCCTTCAAAAGAGAGTCTTCAAAAAGTTCATGGAAGGATTCACATTATCTGTTAATTCACTTTTTCCACAATGTTTTTTTACTAACACCAAGAGGCAGTACATCACGTGAAGTCAAAGTCAACCCCAAAGCCCTGTTGAGCCCCACATCATGATGGATAATCCCTGAGCTGCAGAAAATGAAATTTAACACTGATATGTGAGATCTGAATCCAAAACCAAAGTAGTCTGAAGGCTTCCTGCACCATGTATAAGAATACTAGGAAACCTTTCAAGTATGATGCCTGAGGAATTAGGGAGAATGAATGAGGAGCTAGAAGCCCAGAAATAGGTACTTACAGTTCCTGTTATTTGAAAAAGGAGGTAAGGAAGTAAGTAGGTAGATTCTCCAATCTATGGGGTCCATGAGTTTATAAATGTGAAAATTTATATATGAAATTCTGGTCAGGTTATACCTCTGAGGAGCTGGTATTTGCTTGCCTTAGGACAATGTCCCTAATCATGCTATCCTTTTTACTTTTCCCACCAGGAAGCTCAGAGCTAAACTGTGACCCAACTGTAAAACAGCAACACCTCATGATCTCTATATCTGCTTTCTAATTTTATTGTCAAGGTTTATAATTTTTTCATAGCCTTGATATTTTATTCAGGTATTTGTTGCTTTTTTATTTTATTAATTCTAATAAGCTAGCCAAAACCCTTTGTGGAAACAAGTAGAACATATATCAATATAATATATCACAGATTCTCAGACAGGCAGCTTCTGTGCATTAAAGACAAGTTCTATGAAACCATCTGTAAATGGAGACACTTGACGAGGAATAGAAAAGATATATTGTATACAGAGTACAAAATGTCTTTGAATAAGCTCCTAATAATATCCTTGTGATGTAAAGACAAAAAGCAGGCTAGAAAATGACAACTTTAGGTAGAATCAAAACTGGTTCAAAAATGTACCTGAGGAGTACTGATTAATGCTCTGAGTTAGGAGGTGAATTAACGGTTCAAATTGGGAAAGGTTCTAGGGAATTTTGTCCTCATTTTTGTTTTTTGTTTTTGCCAGTGACTTGGCTAAGGACATGTTTATCACATTTACAGAGGCCTGGGCCCTAGAAAGATATAAAGGATGATACATTTGGATCCCAAATGATCCTGTTAGAATCAACCATTGCTTCTGCCCAATAAGATGAAATTTC